GGGCAGTGTCCATGGAGGGGGCGGGCCAGGCGCTTGGGGAGCCTGCCCAGGTGGAGCCTCATCACTGCGCCCGCTGACCGGCTCGGGGCCCCACTCCCTGCTGTCTTGGCTGTAGAGCTGTTCCAAGCTGATGACATTTTTAACAGAGAGAGAGAGAGAGAGAGAGAGAGAGAGAGAGAGAGAGTGTGTGTGTCAGTCGTGTCGAGTGCAGTAAGTGGTCGTCAGAGTGGACCCCCATAGTCTCTACAGCAGTCCCCCTTACCCGCCTTGTCCCCACCTTGAGGGAAGGGCTTGCACGGGGCAGTGTGTGAAGCTGATCAGGAATGAAGGCTTGAGAGCAGCCTCTGTTTTTGTGTTGTTGTTTTTTTTACACGTTTTATTTTATATTGGTTTCTGGTGTACAGCTTACTGGTTAGGTAATCGTATACCTTACGTAGCATTTCTTTTGATATTTCCGGTTCCCCACCTGGCACATACATAGTCATTGTGCTATGATTCCTGTGTTTCCTGTGCTTTGCTTCCTTCCCCGTGACAGTTTTGTAACTACCCCTGTGTGCTTCTTAATCCCTTCAGCTCTTCACCCCGTGCCACCACCAGTTCTCTGTTTCTGCGAGTCTGCTTCCGTTTTGCTCATCAGTTTATTCTGTTCTTTAGATCCCACAGAGAAGTGACATCGTACGGTGTTTGTCTTTCTCTGGCTGACTATTTCACTTAGCGCAATGCCCTCTAGGTCCGTCCATGCTGTCACAAATGGTAAGATTTAATATTTTTATGGCTGAGTAATAGTCCATATATAGGGTGCATATATACCACAGGTTGGTTTGTTTGTTTGTTTGTTTTTTATCCACAACGGCAGAATCTGAACCCTGAATAAGAGGTAAAGTCAGGTGTGCAGAGAGTCCTTAGCCTGAGTGCACAGATGTCCATATTGTCTCGTGTGTTCTCAGGGGTCCCATGAAGCCCCAGAAATCAAAATCAAAAGTTTGAGTATATGGTTCTTTTTCCAGGGTGAGGAGCAGTAGCTTTGATAAGATTCTCAGAGGCGAGGCAGAGCGGATGTAGGCCCTGAGACGGTTAAGGAGGCTGACATTCTCTCCACGGTTATGTGGGGGGGGGGGGGGGGGGAGGAAAAGGGGTCCTGTCCCGGAATCTCGGTAAAGTCTAGTTTCTGTCTGATTTGGAGACCTTGGTGCTTGCATCACGTAACCCAGAGGACCCCGTTAGGTCGAAGTCAATCGTCAGGGGACCCCCAGAGGCTGGACACGGGCGTGGACACAGGCCCCGGTGGACTCTGCTCCCGCACTCTGGAAGTCCTGGGTAAGATATTAAATCTTACCATTTGTGACAGCATAGATGGACCTACAGGCCATTACGCTAAGTGAAATAAGTCAGCCGGAGAAAGACAAACACCGTATGATGTCACTGGCACAGGGAATCTAAAGAGCAGGAAGACCTGCCCTCAGGTCTCAGTGGCAGATGTCAGAGGGCAGAGAGGAGATAAGAGCTTGGGAACAGCCGAGGGCAGGAGCTGAGCCCCAGATCCTGGGCGTAGCACCCCTGTTGTGATTTCCTGGCTCTCATCACTGGCACCCACAGCACTGACTGGATTCTGACAGTGGTTCCCCACGAGGCGATGGGAGTGAGCAACGGGGAGTGATGAAGAGTGAGGGTAACAAGAAAGGGCTGGTAGGTCACAGTGGGAACCGTGGGCGCCGCTGCTCCGCCTTGTCTGTGTGAAGCCGGACGTCTCAGCATGGACCGATGGGGGTTTGATTTTCCCATTTTACCTGTAAACCTGACTTCCACCCAGGCCTTTCCAAACAAATAGCCCGAGGCAAACAACAATGCGATGTGGTTCTGGCATTGTGGTTCTGGCTGACACTCGAGAATCCCACGCAGACGTTTTTATATTCAGCGCACGGTGGAGACAGATTGGGCATTTAAGGCAACTTAGTGGATTGAAGAGCACTGAGGGAATTGTGGGAATTGCCTGTGAGAACAGATCATTATTCCTTGGCAGGCGGGCGGAGGAGACGGGATGGAGGAGAAGCTGTAGGTTACGGGGAGGAAGAAATCAGAGAAATCGGGTGGCAGCACGAGAGGCCTTTGGACAGAGGAAGGAAGTGATCCACAGCAAGCAGGCATGCTTGCCCGGGGTCACGGACAGCAAGGCAGTCACAGGGCCAGCACCTGACCCCAGGTCTTCCCGAGGGAGAGCCCCAGCCCCACGCTGCCCCCTGCCTTCAGAACCATGGACAGCTGTAGGTCACTGTGGACAGGCTATGGTGACACCGGAAAAGAGGAGCCCCAAGGAGGCAACCAGCTCAGACGGAGGGTGAGGCAGGCCCAGGAGCCAGGAGGGTAAAAGCCAGAATGGTGGGGCCATGCCTGGGTCCCCTGCTCTCTTCCGGTGCAGTCCGTGGTGTGACTTGGGGGACACCTGAGCCCAGAGCAGTCGAGACAAAGATGAGCCAACACGCCAGCCCCCATCGTGCTTACCTTCACTGGACATCCATGGGTCCCCAGCAGCTGCCTGTCATCTGCCAGGTGTGTGTGTGACCAGACAGGAGCTGACTGACTGAACCACAGGAGCAGGTGCGGTGGGGGCAGCTCAAGGCACAGACCTGGAGCAGTCAGCATGGCAAGCATAGGGGCCTGGAGGAGCAGCATGACACCCCCCCCCCCACACACACACACACCAGGCAGCTGGCATGGGGGAGGAGCCACTCCACCGAAGGAAAGGAGGGGTAGTGGTCTGACCCAGGGGTGGGGCCCCCACAGTGCTCTATGGAAGTCGGGTTTGAGCCCTGGCCAGTGTGGCTCAGTTGGTTGGGTGTCGTCCCCATGCACCGGAAGGTCGCCAGTTCAATTCCCTGTCAGGGCGCGTGCCCGGGTTGCAGGCTCAAACCTCAGCAGGGAGCATGCAGGAGGTAGCCATCGATGTTTCTCTCTCATATCAATGTTTCTCTCTTTCTCTCTTCCTTTCTCTCTAAAGTCAATAAAAACCTATTGAAAGGGGGGGGGAGGAATCAGTTTTGAGGCACTTGCAAAGGGCTCGCATACAGCAGGTTCTTAAGGATGAAGAGAGCCAGGTAGGCAGCTGGATTTTTGTCCTCAGCCCTGGCCAGACCCCGATGGGGAGATGAGCCAGAGACCACAGGCACTGGCTTGGTGCCCTGGAGGAAAGGCGCTGGCCTGTCTTTGGACAAGTCTGTGACGTCCCGCTAACGAGCTGGCTGCAGACACCTGGCTGCACCGTTACCTGCAGACCCTGAGGATCACTGAGTTTGGGGAAGTACCCGAGGTGGCCTGAGGCCCCAGGCCAGAGAGGGGCTTGTGGGCTAGATCCTGGCCCTGCCTTTCTCTCCTTTTCTCTATTCCGTGGGGACCATCAGTACAGGAAACAAAAATGAAAAGAAGCAAATCATCATGAGATGAGCCATCTCCTTCCGGACACATGCGTAGTGCTGGGCTTGGGGGCCACACCGTGCACAGCAGATGGTCTTAAAGGAGATGTGTCAGACCCCTGTGCCTAGCTCTCCGCAGATACTCAGAAGGCGGTGGTTTCCTTCCTCCGTATTTACTAGAATGCTGAAAGGTGTTGGGAAGGAGGTCATCCGTTTGAATGAAGTTAGTCCTTCCTTCACCACCGTGAGGGAGGCCCCACGGGTGTCGTAGAATTATTAGCGAGCAGAGGGTCATGGCATTGAGAAAGAGGCGAGGCACCATGGGGGCTCAAGAAACAGCTCTTGGAGGGAACGCTGGCTTCTCGCTACACTGACGTCTATGCCGAGGGAAAGGATCGTTATTCCAGGTGGAAATCCAGCTATGCACGCTCGGCGCCCGCCTGTGACTGCGTGTGCCGTGACCCGCTTGACTTCCCTTGCAGTCCACCTGATCCCGGTGTCCGTAGCTAAGAATGGAGCGAGTAGCAAGAGTCGAAAGAGAATCATGCCCGACCCGGTGACAGAGCCCCCCGGGATGGATCCTGTCTACGAAGCTCTCTTGTACTGCAACATTCCCAGCGTGGCCGAGCGCAGCATGGAAGGTAGGCCTGCCCGCCCTGCCCAGCGTGGTACCTGGACAGACACCCCTCTGGAATCTGGTTCCTCACAGCTCAGCCTGGTGGTGAGGAGCTCCTCGGCCGGGGCGCAATTCCTGCAGCTGCCACTAGGCTGTGCACTTGAGTGAGTTCACTTCCTCACTTCTAGTGCATCACCCCCAGCTTTTCTTTCTTTTTAAATTTTTTTAAAATATATTTTTATTGATATTTTACAGAGAGGAAGAGAGAGGGATAGAGAGTTAGAAACATCGATGAGGGAGAATCATCAGTCAGCTGCCTCTTGCACACCCCCTGCTGGGGATGTGCCCGCAACCAAGGTACATGCCCCTGACCGGAATCGGACCTTTCAGTCCTCAGGCCGACGCTCTGTCCACTGAGCCAAATAGGTTCGGCCCCAGCTTTTCTGAGTAGACACTCTGGGGCTTAGGACGTCCTGCTGGTATCTTGCAGGAAAGGTGTGGGGAAATGTGATTTCCACGTTGAATTTTGCTTTTTTTTTTTTTTTTTTTTTTTGAGAGTGTACCAAAGATTGGTGTTGCGTCTGCTTGTGCCCCGCCTTGTTTGACGAGAGATTTCGAGAGGATGCGTGTTCCCTGTTCACTGTTTCTGGGCCTCGCCTCCCGTGGTCTGTGGATGTGAGCGAGGAGGACACAGGAATATTCCTGCTCACGCTTCCCTGGCCTCCAGCTGGCCACCACGGCCTCCCCGAGACTTCCGGTGGCCTGGTCATAACCAGCCCACTCCCGTCCCTCTGCCCTGCCACGGAGTCTATTCAGAGGCACCCCACCCGGACCCCAGCCCAGCACCCTGCTCCCAGTTACCCCTCCTCCCTTCAGTGCCGTGAAAAGAACCGACGCTCCTGAGTGATAACAACACACCGTCTCTGTCGCTCTTTATGTCTGTCTGTCTGTCTCCTGCAGGTCATGCTCCGCACCATTTTAAGCTGGTCTCGGTGCACGTGTTCATTCGGCACGGGGACAGGTACCCGCTGTACGGCATTCCCAAAACAAAGCGACCAGAAATTGACTGCACTCTAGTGGCTGACAGGTAAATTGCACTTTAAATTAAAAAAAAAAAAAAGTTCCTTGTAAGAATCTGTTCTCTCTGTTCTAATCATAATGCTGATGGGGGAACGAATGGCGGGACGGGGAGTGTGACCTGTCATGGAGCGAGTGCAGTTCACCAGGAGTCTGATCTCCAGAACAATCCTGCACGTTCCTGCCGCCTCACCGGGGAGCAGACAGAGGCCCAGAGAGGTGAGGGCGCCTGTGTGAGCCGCACAGCAGGTAAAGCCCTGGCCAGTCAGAGGCCCACGCTCCCACCCTGCTGCCCTTCGGTTTGAGAAACGGCTGGATGTGGTGCCGCGGCCACTGAGTGAGGAGTCCTCAGACCCGGCTCGGCTATTCCATTCAGAGCAGCCGGGGAGCCCCTCAGTCCCTGTGAGCCTCAGTCGTCTGTCTGCCCCTGGAATGGGACGGCGATGCTGACCACGCAGAGTTGGGGCCAGGCGTCCCTGAGACGACAGAGGAGAAAGAACGCCGTCGTTTACTTGCAAAGCCACATGCGTGGAGGATGCTACTGCCAACGTCCACAGGGGCAGAGCCCACCTGCTCTTGGTGGAGAGCGAGCCCTCGGGATGAAAACTGATGGAAACGAGTGGGAACGGTGCCCATGGAAATGCCATGGCTCTCCCTTCTGCCACTGCGGGTGCTCTAGCCCATCCCCACGATCCAGGAACAAAAGAGTGAATGCCCGGCACAGCGAGTGACCTCCACCCTGGCCCTCGTCCTCAGGCCAGCTAAGGTCCGAGGATGAAACTCGCTCACACCCACAGACCACGGGAGGCGAGGCCCAGAAACAGTGAACAGGGAACACGCGTCCTCTCGAAATTTCTCGTCAAACAAGGCGGGGCACAAGCAGACACAACACCAATCTTTGGTACACTCTCAAAGAGGCGAGGCATGGCATTTCCATGGGCATTTCCATGGGCACCGTTGGCATTGAAAGCGGTGGGCCGGGCCTCAGCCAGCGTGTCTGGGGACACGTCACCCCCCTCGCAGAAGGTGCCGAGGGAGGAGAGGGGCGGAGCGGAGGATGCTACGTCGGTGGAATGCTCCTGGCTGCCAGCCGGGCCCCGGGCAGCCCAGGGGAACCACGGATTGCCTCCGGCCGCCGGGCTGTTCTTTCCAAGTGGCCACCGTGGGGACCCGGGCGGTTCAGGTTCACTTGGGGCGCCTCATTGTCCGGCGTCACAGAGAGGGTGAAGTGAAGCATCTTCGGTAGAAACAGGAGATACTGGGCGACTGCGGGCTTTCCCGTGTTGTTTCGTTTCCGGCAGGAGGTCAGGATGCTCACACTCCGGGCGTTGGTGTCTTCTGTGCTCCACGAACCTGGAGGCATGTCCCAGAGCCTGTGTCAGGGTGCTCTCCTCCTCCCTCCTCCAGCCTCCTGTGTCCGCCTTCCCGGGAGGGCCGCTGCCCCTGCCAGCCCCACCTTTGCACCTGCCACCTGGCTTGCTTGTTCCCCACGCCTGCTTGGCTCCCTTCCACAACTCCCTGCAGGGCCCCGGAGAGGCTGGCTCCCCTAGGAAACCTCTCCCCGTGGGTGAGAATGGGCCCTCGGCTTGTATCGGGGACCACAGCCACGCAGGGAGGAAGAGAGGCCGGCCCTCGGAGACCTCCAGGCTGGCTGCTGTGCTGAAATCATGTCACCCGCTGATCAAACTCTCAGCATGGACCGGGCTCAGGGCCTCACTGCAAACGAGACGGGAAGGCACACGGGGATGGTCCCTGAACAAAACATTTCATCCTCGGACCTTAGCTGGCCTGAGGACGAGGGCCAGGGTGGAGGTCACTCGCTGTGCCGGGCATTCACTCTTCGGTTCCTGGATCGTGGGGATGGGCTAGAGCACCCGTAGTGGCAGGAGGGCACAGGCTGGGGTGCAGGGCAGGCAGCTTAGGGACGTGGGCTTGATAGGTCGGGCACAGCAGAGTTTCTTCGTGTTAACAGCTGGCCTAGCCCTCCCTTTGCATGCTGGCTGGACAGCCACCCTTTGAACAGCCCGGGCACAGACAGGCTCCTGGGCCTCTGAGCTGGCTGGACCCAAGACAGCCTCCAGGACTCACGGACAGCGCCCTGCCTCGTCCCCGGCTCCTTGCAGTTTCTGGTCCTCTTCCTCTGCTAGCACTTCCGCTTCTCAGAAGTGAGAATTTGAGAGACTCGGCTCAGACTAGGGGTCAGTCGCTGTTGCTAGAAAGTCCCTGGGCACTTGGAGTTCTGGGGGCCATTCTAGTCGTTCCCAGAAAAGGGGCCTATTGGGCCAGGCCACCTGCCAACGTGCAGGGCCTCTCCCCCTCTCCCTTCCCCCTGTGCAGCCTGGGACTTTACAGCTTGCCTTCCCAGCGTGACTGTCTCCGCCCTCCCCACATCACCAGCTTCTCCCCGGCTTTGGGTCTCACTCCTTCCTGTATCGCCCAGGCCCGGCTGGAGCCTGGCAGGCAATAGTTGTTGGACGGGTTTGGTTGCAGAATGAATCCGGGATCTGGGTGAGACTCACAAGTCATAATTGCCTGTCGTGGGCTCCTATCAGATTGAAGGCTCCGCACGGAGTCCTGTGGGGCCGATCCGCCCAGGAGGCCCATCCGCCCGTGTGTGTAGGGAAGGTGGCTGCGCTCTCTGAGCCTCCGTGTGCAGACCTGGAGCGTGGGGGCCGCGATGCCTCCCTTTCCCACGCCTTGTGGTGTCTGATGGAGGTGGGAGCGTGAGGCCCTGAGCCCGGTCCATGCTGAGAGCTCGCCAAGGGGGTGACGTGTCATTGAGCACAGCAGCCTGGGGGTCTCCGAGGGCCGGCCTCTCTTCCTCCCCGAGTGGCCGTGGTCATGAAGCCAGGACAGGTCCCAGGGCCCCTCGTCCTGTCAGGGCGACGACAGGATGCACGGATGGGGGGGGCTGTTGCCGGGGCTCCCATTGGAGAAGCCATAGTGTCTGGGGAGCAGCTGCCCTGGCTGCCTCTGCCTTCCTTGTCCCTGGCCTTGTTCTTGCAGCCTCGTTGGATCAAACACTCTGTATTTTTAGGATCTACTTGTAAGTCCTTTGCAGAAAGTGGGTGGGGCGTGCATGTTTAATTAAGTCGTGTCATTTAAGTAAATCCATCTTTAAATAAAAACAATGAATGTCCATTCATAAGAGTGGACAGGAACTCCCAGCCATTAGAATCCACTTCAGGCCTCTAAGTCCCCCGGGACCGTGGGAGCGGGGTCACCAGCAGTGCCTGCCGCCTCCCCAGGTGCCGGTTCAGCGTCAGGAATTACTCATTTTTACGGCCTCCCAACAGGCCTTGGGAGTGTGGCCTTTACTCTGGTCCCATGGAAGGGGGTGTCTGGGCCGTGCACAGCGAGGAGCTGATGCCCATTCAAGCCGGTCACCCCAGCGCTCCCCTTCTCAGTGACACACTGCGTGGCTCCCTGAGTCTTTGTGGCAGACGCCGTGTCTGCGTGAATGCCTGGGCCTCACAAAGGTGATCTCTTTACCCTCACAGGACTATGCTTTGCCGGCAATAAGGTTATTAGCCATTGACATGTTTCGTGAATTTTTTTTTTTTTGCATTCATGAATATGAATTTGATATTCTTTTCTACATCCTAAGAAGAAAAAAACAAATCAATATTTTTATTCAATGAATTTTATTCTTTTTAAAATATATATATATATTTTATTGATTTTTTTTACAGAGAGGAAGGTAGAGGAATAGAGAGTTAGAAACATCGACGAGAGAGAGACATCAACCAGCTGCCTCCTGCACACCCCCTACTGGGGATGTGCTCTCAACCAAGGTACGTGCCCTTGACCGGAATTGAACCTGGGACCTTTCAGTCCACAGGCCGACACTCTAGCCACTGAACCAAACCAGCTTCGGCGAATTTTATTCTTAAATGCATGTCGTGTGCCAGGGGCTGTCCCATGTACCTGGCTCATGCACCAGGAAGTGGCATGTGAGCAGGCACCTAAATGAAGTGAAGAGAAGCTGGCCCCGGGAGGATCTGGGGAAGAGGGTTCCAGATGGCGGGAAACAGCGTGTGCAGAGGGTCTGAGGCTGGGGAGCTGGGCATGTATGAGTGACATTAAGATTAGTGCCTGGGGGAACAGGAGGCGTGAAGGGGAGAGTGAGCTGCTAAGGATTTAAAGAAGGTGGTTGCCCTCAGGGGGCCTCGGAATAGCACATCAGCCATTTGTCTTCTCTTCCATAAGCGGAAGTTTTTCTCCTGCGAATCCTCATCTCCCCCTACCCAAAGCAAGCTTTCACGGATGCAGTGAGAAACAGACGCCTCCTCAAGCAGTCGGATTCCCTGGAAACCCGGGACAGCTCAGCCAACACTGTCAGCCGTGAGATTCTGTGTCTAAAATTGGCGGCCACGCTCCCCGGATCCTCGGGCGTCACGGCCGGAAGGAGCGGCCGGCGGCAGAGCACCTGCCTCCTCGCGGTGGCCTTCGTTTACGTGCTGGCCATCGGCGGCCTCGTGACCAGATGGAAATTTTATTTCCGAGTTTGCAAATATTGGCACGCTTCAGCCTCGGGATGAAAAGCACAGCCTCTGTCTGCATGCAGAGACAGCCCCGCCCGGCACAGCCCCGGGGACATCACCAGACCGTCCTGCGCGGCAGGACTAGCATTCCCTAGTTCCAAAGCCTATTTTATGAAAGGTGGATTTTTTTTTTTTAGCTTTATGCTTTTGAAAAGATACTAAACCTATCCTGGCAGCCATTTTTAAAGCATTGTCAATGTCAATTGGGCTTTCAGCAGCAGGGGTCGGCCATTAGAGCGATTTCCCTTTGCTGCTTTTCACGCTGATTTGGTTTAGCTGGGACTCGTCTATCCGCTTCTGTTCAGCTGGAAAATGGATACACAGTCATAGGCCATTCTACTATTCAAAGAGGAGGCGTAAATATTCATAAGTCACCTCATTATTCAGAGGAATTGTGTCTCTATGCATAGGTCATTTCATTATTCAGAGAAAATGAGTATATATATTCATAGGTCATTTCATTCTTCGGGGGAAAAAGTGACTCGATTAAATCTTGATTTACCACATGTTCTCCATGGGAGAAATATTAAAAAAGTCAGGCCTCATAAACATACTGGTATTGTTATTGTTTTGCTATTTGTGACCATCCCACATGAAATACATGTTATATGTGCAAAATACATAGCGAATTATAGAAAGCTATAGAGATCTTGGTTATCTTAATCAGTTAATGTTCTTCAAAAGAGCCTTTCCAGAGGTCAGATAAGTTAAGGATTAAGAGTTACCCAGGTAAACTCTTAATCCTTAACTTAAGGATTGTTGTTTTTTGTTTTGTTTTTTTAAGAATTGTTTTTTTTTTTTTTTTTTTTAAGAAGTAGATGTTTTCGTTGATTTTAGAGAGAGAGGAAAGAAGAGGGATAGAGAAATAGAAACACTGATGAGAATGATCAATTGGCTGCCTCCTGCACGCCCCCTGGTGGGGACCTAGCCCACAACCCGGGCATGTGCCCTGACCCGGATTACAACCAGTGACCTCTTGATGCTCAACCCCTGAGCCACACTGGCTAGACAGGGTGGGGTTATTAGGAGGGAGAAGCAGCACGTGGGGAGTCTTGGAAGCATGAAAGAACAGCGTGTTGGGGGAACAGACGTCGGTTGTGTCTGTGTGTCCGGAGCTCAGCATTAGAGTGGAAAGGGCCGGGGAGCCCTGAGCCTCAGTGCGAGGTGGGGCCAGAGCAGACCAACGGGCACACGTGGCCCCTTCCAGAAGGCAGCATGTGGAAGGGCAGTGACCACTCTGGTTGCCTTTTAAGGAGATCGTGCTGGCAGTGGAGAAGGCAGATAAGAGGGGCAGGAATAGGCTCAGGTAATCTAAAGAGGAACTCATGGCATCCAGACAGAAGCTGCCTGGCCAGAACCCAGCTGGTGGCTGCAGGGATGCAGAAGAGAGGTGTGCAGCCCCTGGAGGACATGTGTGCAGGTTGGGGGCGGGGGAGGGGGTGCAGGTGGCCTGTGTAGAGGCAGAGAAGGGATAGATCGAGGATTCCCAGCCTAGGCATGGCGTCTGGAGAGGGAGCCTGGAGGGGTGCAGGTTGGGAACCGACCATGGAGGGCAAAGCTGACTCCCAGAGTGATGGGCGCTCGGCTGGCCTTGCGGAGTGGGTCATGTGTAGCCGTCGGTGGTTGAGTAATGCGAGATTGGAATGTAGAAGTGATGGAGCGATTGCCGTTGTGGGGGAGGAGGGGCACACACGTGGGTTTTGTTTGCTGAAGCTGAAACCAGCACAGGCCGCTCTGGTGCGTGCTGACCTCCAGATCTGTGTTGTCTCTTCAGGAAACCGTACCACCCGAAGCTGGAAGCCTTCGTCAGTCACATGTCCAAGGGATCCGGAGCCTCGTTCGAAAGCCCCTTACACTCCCTGCCTCTCTTCCCCAACCACCCGCTCTGCGAGATGGGAGAGCTCACACAGACAGGTGCGTGGGACCCCGTGCGCTCACCCTGAGCGGAGAGCGAGTGCTCCTGGGCCGGGCACTGGGGGCTCAGGGGGCAATGGACTAGCACGCCCCAGCTCTGAGTCCACCAGATTCCCAATTAACATCTGATTTCTAAAAAATAAAAATAATAAAAACTATTTTGTTATTACAAACTAGAGAAACTAGTTTGTTTCTCTTCCATGTTTCTCAAAGTATATGTTAATGGAAGAGAAATTAGGAATGGCAATTAAGCAAAAGGAAGAAAAATAGCACCCGTAATGCCACCAAAGTAATTAGTTATCTTTCTTTCTTTCTGTGTTCATGCATGTGTATGCATGTGCGTGCATGTGCACACACACTCTTACAGTAGGTAATGAAACACTCTATTTCATTACCCACTCTTTCACTTAGTATATTGTGATCATCCTTCCCTATTCATCAACAACACCATTTCTGATTGCTACATGTTACCCCACTGTGGCTGGGCCATAATTTATACCATTAATCCCATGTTCCTAGATACTTCAGGCAAAGCACCTGGTAAGTTCCAGGGTGCCAGGTCTCAGTTTTTTTACAAGTTCTGATCAAAACAAAATACAAGTGCCCCTCAATTAATAGCATGTTTATTGGAAATTCATTGGATGTTAATGTTACACGAAAATGACTTTGTGTTTATAGATTTTAAAAAAATAATAAGTGGGTTCGCCCTAGCTGGTTTGGCTCAGTGAAGGGTCCCGGGTTTGATTCCGGTCAAGGGTACATGCCGAGTTGAGGGCTCAATCCCCAGTAGGGGGCAGGTAGGAGGCAGCCGAGCAATGATTCTCATCATTGATGTTTCTCTCTCCCCCTCTTCCTTCCTCTCTGAAACCAATGATAGTATTTTTTTTTAAGAAGTGGGTTCTAGGCTATATAAACATATTTTTCACGTGTGGGAACGTCTTATGGCACATTCAGAAGTTCTATGGGCCCTGGCCAGTTTGGCTCAGTGGATAGAGCATCAGCCTGCAGACTGAAGGGTCCCAGGTTTGATTCTGGTCAAGGGCATGTACCTTGGTTACGGGCACACCCCCAGTAGGGGGTGGAGGGTTGCAGGAGGCAGCTGATCGATGTTTCTCTCTCATCAATGTTTCTAACTCTCTATCCCTCTCCCTTCCTCTTTGTAAAAAATCAATAAAATATATTTTTTTAAAAAGAAGTTCTATGGGGCCAAGACAGTTCCTTGTGAAGACTGTCCAGCCCCCTGGCCACCACTACTAAGTGTTGGGAACATTATTGCCCATATTATTGTGACAGCTCAGCCGCCAAACCCTCCCTGAGGGCAGACCCAGGCTTGCTGAGAACCACCGCTTAGACCCTGATTGCAAGTAACAGAAACCAACTCAAGCACAAAAGAGTTCACAGTGACTCACCGACTGTGAGGGCAAGAATGTGAGCAGGCCCCCGGAGACTGGAGCCAGGAGTAAAAAGCCTGCCTGTCGCTGCCTTTGTGGTTTTGCTGGGTGTCTGTCAACAGAGTGACAGTCCGAGCCACACCCACAGATGGGCTGGCAAGACCTCATTCTTGAGAGAGAGAGAGAAGAGAGAGAGAGAGAGTCCGAAGGGGTCCTTGAGGGCCGGGGCCATCACCTGGCCAGAGGTCAGAGTGGCTGTGCATTGAGAGTGGGACCCAGCCTTGGGGTCCAGGGGCCGCCCCAGAGAAGAGTGGCAGGGGGCGGGGCCTGAGGGGTTCACACACGTAGAGACAGTCGTTCATTCATTCCGACCTTGCTTCTCATTGATTTACGGTAGTATCATCGTTATCACATTCTACTCGTGAATCGGCATCACGCTAGAAATTGCTTTTGCAGCATGGTCATGGTTTGCTCCTGTCCCCTTATTCTCTCTTAATGGCCAGTTTCATCTTCCATTTTAAATTTTATTTTAAGATACCCTCGCTGTTAGCGCCGTCATTTGTCACGGGCTCACTTTGGCACCCACAGGGACTACGCATGACCAGACTGATCGCTGGGGTCTGCTCTGTGCAACGTGCTTTGGAAGCTGTTGAGTGTGGGGGGAGGGGCGGGGCCTGGGAGAGGAAGACACTCCACTGCCTGTCCTAGCGGATCCCTCCGCTGCACGGAGACCAGCCTGCTGCTGCAGGCCGCAGGGTCCTATGGGATCAACGCAGGCTTCGGAGGATAGACAGCCCCGTGAAATGGGGCTGACATCTTCCGGGCAGGGCTGGTGGTGAGTGACATGCGACAGCGTGTGGAAAGTGCCTCGCACGGTGCAATGCTCAGTGAATGCTGCTAAGGGCCCAGAGGTCCAGCGGCCCGTGGGAGCCGAAGGAGTTGTTCGTGGGACCTGGGGGAGGGAGAAGGAAGACCTCAGGGGAGGTGGGCAACAGGCTGGATCCCAGGATCTCGCCCTGCGCTAAGGGATCTGGTGCCGGGCACTGGCTCAATCCCATGGCCGTCCTTCCGGCTGAGCCGCCGGTCAGGAAAGCCTGTGTCGCTCTGTTTCAGGGGTCGTGCAGCACCTGCAGAACGGCCAGCTGCTGAGGGACATCTACCTGAAGAAGCACAAGCTCCTGCCCGCGGACTGGTCCCCCGAGCAGCTCTACCTGGAGACCACAGGGAAGAGCCGGACGCTGCAGAGCGGGCTGGCCCTGCTGTACGGCTTCCTCCCGGACTTCGACTGGAGGAAGGTGTACTTCAGGCACCAGCCCAGCGCCCTGTTCTGCTCGGGGAGCTGCTCCTGCCCGGCGAGGAACCACTACCTGGAGCGGGAGCAGCGCCGGCAGTACCTCCTGCGCCTGCGGAGCGGCCCGCTGGAGCGGGCCTACGGGGACATGGCCCGCATCCTGGACGTGCCCACCAAGCAGCTGCGGGCCGCCAACCCCATCGACTCGCTGCTCTGCCACTTCTGCCACAACCTCAGCTTCCCCTGCGCCCGGGGCGGCTGCATCGGCATGGACCACTTCAAGGCCATCAAGGCCCACCAGATGGAGGACGAGCGGGAGCGCCGGGAGAAGAAGCTGTACCTGGGCTACGCGCTCCTGGGCGCCCACCCGCTCCTGAACCGGACGGTGGGCCGCCTGCTGCGCGCCGCCGAGGGCCGGCGGGAGGGGGCCTTCGCCCTCTACTCCGCGCACGACGTCACCCTGTCCCCCCTGCTCAGCGCCCTGGGCCTGGCGGAGGCCCGGTTCCCGCGGTTCGCGGCCAGGCTGGTCCTGGAGCTCTGGCAGGACCGGGAGGGGCCCGGGGGGCACGCCGTGCGGGTGCTGTACGACGGCGCGGACGTCACGCGGCACACCGCCTTCTGCCAGGACCGCCGCGGGCGCTGGCCCACGCCCATGTGCCCCCTGGACAACCTGGTCCGCTTCGTCCGGAGGGACATGCTGGAGGCCCTGGGCCCCGGCAGCACCAGCTACTACGATGCCTGCCACCGGAAAGGGCTCTGAGAGGCGCGGGGAGGCCAGCCCCGGCGGCAGCGGTGCCCACACAGAGGGACGGGGTGGCGGGGGGGAAGAAGGCACGCTTCCAGCCCCGGCCTTCGCCAAGGGTGCCAGGCGGCTGATCTCCGTGGCTGGGAGCCACCCCAGTGGCTTCGGTGGAACAAGGAGCGCCTTGTTGATGAATTCGGGTCCGGGAGTTCCTTGATTACACATTGGCCGATTCACAGAAAGAAAAAAAAAAAAAAAAAAAAGGAAGGTACTTGATCGCAGCCAGGCTTGGCACACGATGCCAGACCCTTTGAATGCCCCAAGCTGCCAACCCACATGCGTGTCTTCTTCTGACCTGCCGTGTACTTCCTGTACGAGGGGGCCCACATGTTCTTCACCTGGGACCGTCTTACCTGTATCTTCATCCCGTGAAACCTTTCCCCGAGTAACGTACGTGAAACGGGGCTCGACAGACTTATTCTGTTCGAGGTCAGAGAGGACATTGCGTAGACGGCGCAGGCCAGAAAGCCACGTCCAGTCTCTCATCACAGCCAATGCGTTCTGTTCTTGTGACAGGAACGCACCCACCGACGGTACACAGAGCGATCACAGGCCGCGCCACACAGGCCCGGGGCTGTCGCTGGCCGGCCCCTGGCCTGACACACATCGCACTCTCCGCACTTTGAGAACCGGGTGGATGCCAAGACTTACTCAGTCACTTCTGCTAGAAACACAGAATCCGGTCCGTATCTGTTACAACAGAACAAAGGGAGGCACACATTGAATCAGAAGGGATCCCAGGAATGTTGCCAGAATGATACTTGATGTTCGCGATGATTGTGGTACGATAGTTTTAAACACGTGTCTGCTGTCGTCTCTTTGCTGTACATGCTGAAATGTTTTGTATCCTATTTGGTATTTTTATAGCCTAGGAGGATATTTTCTGAGGCCGGTTTTAGACGTGCTCTGATGCCTATGTACGATCCCACTGGCTGTCCCAGATTGCTGTTCGGAGGGAAGGCAGACCCCGGACACAAGCACTTCCCTCCCATGAAACGAATCACGGCTGCTCCCTTGGACGAGCTGTAGAGTCGGATCAACTTCTAAACCCTTTTTTTTTGTGTGTGAGTTTCAAGAGGTCCATTCTCACTGATTTTTAGGTACGTTTTTTTTGGAAGAACTTTGGTACTCGGTAGTGAAATAGTCTTTCTAAGGTATTTTGTATATTAGAAGCAGCGATGAAATCTGTGGTTTCTGAACGGATGGTGCTCGTTCCGCGCGAAGAGATGTGACGTGCAGGTGAGGTTCTCCCGCGTCATGGATGTTTCCGTCGTTTCTCTTGGTTTCTGCCCAGTGTTGCGTTTCAATACATGTTTCTATGAATAAATTTTGATGAATACGTGTACGTGCTACATAGTTTGTACCTCTTTTTTTATTATTAATTTCTTTATTGATTAAGGTATCGCATATTTGTCCTCAAACCCCCATTCCAATCCCCCACCCCACCCCCACGCATGCCCCCACCCCCCTATTGTCCTTGACCACTGGTTAGGCTCATATGTGTGCACACAAGTCCTATGGTTGATCTCTCGCTTTTATCCCCACCCTCTCTCTGAGGTCCAACAGTCTGACCCATGGCTCCTGATCTCTGGGTCTGTTCTTGTTCATCAGTCTATGTTGTTCACCATTTCCCCTAGATGAGGGAGATCATGTCCTACTGGAAATACAAGAATCAAAAACGAGACAAGCAATAATGGTTATGCTGAAAGGCATATGCAACCGTCTGTAGTGAGCTTCTTTCTGGGTCACCAGTTCTTTTGAGACCCAATTCCAATGTCAAACAGTTCCTTATGTGTACATGTCAGCAATGATACTTCAGTTCTGGATGGTGGGCAAATGGTGGTAACGCAGGTCAGTTTGTACCTCTTAAGTCACTCTGGTTCTTCTTTTCAAGTGAGCGCCAATATTTTTAAGATTTGTCCTTTATTTGTATATAAATAAAAATGAGCTAAATCAGAAAACTCTACAACACCCGTGGGGGAGGGCGGGCCAGGCCCCCAGGGTACGCCGTAGCCTCTGACAGGCTGCGCCGGGCCCAGCAGGGACAACGAAAAGGGATGTCCTGCCAAAACCGGTTTGGCTCAGTGGATAGAGTGTCAGCCTGCGGACTGAAAGGTCCCGGGTTCGATTCTGGTCAAGGGCATGTACCTTGGTTGAAGAAAAGAAAAGGGACGTCCTACTTCCTTCTCGCAGGGCAGCAGCGAGCTCGCTGGGCCAGGAGGCCGTGTCCCAGCCGGTGGCCGAGGGCTGGGTGAACGATTATCTTACCTGCTTCTGTTATTGCTGACCATCTTGTGTTGTCTCTGGAGTATTTAAAGCCTACACAGGTGTGAGTTTTTTCTCTCTATTTGCAGGAGAGCTGCTAAGCACAGCTTGAAGAACGTAGAATTGAATCAGAAAGATGTTTTAAAAATTAATTGGCAACATCTGTTGGTAGTAGAGGTAAATACTTTGGATAAGAGCCCACATTCAAAGTGTCGTAGATACAGGTCTTGCCTCTGTGGTGAGAAAAACAATCTTTTTCCCCCTGAATTATTGTCTTTCTGAATGATTGCCACGGCCTTTTACTTACAACACGGCGGCCCTGCCCACCCCCAGAGCCCGGACACTTAGGAAAGAACCTGAGCTTAGGGCGCCCATCCTCAGTCCCCGCTTGGCTTTTCCAGGGCGCCTTTGAGAACAGTCGCTTCTAGCTAAGCCTGCAAAGGGTTAGTGGCCCCGGCCCCAGCCACCGTGTAAGTCCTAGGTGTTTGCTGCACTGCTCTCTGCCTCCTGCTGCATGTGCCCCGGATGGAGGACGGACATTCCCTCGGCTCCGTGGCATCCCCCTCACTGGGGCCTGTAAGTAATAAATCTCGTGACGACTTCCTTTGTGTGGACGTATTGAAACTGCGCCTTCAATCAAAACACCCCGTGGGGGGTTTCACTTCCCCAGCGTGGGCGCTTGGGCACTGGGGGAGCTGCCTGCCGCCTCTGTGGGGGTGGCTTGTGCTTCCTCACTCAACAGATCACAATCTGTGTGTTCTTCCCACCCCCTCGCCAAGATTTTTAATTTTTTAAGTTATGGTTCACATACAATATTATACTTGTTTCAGGTATACAACATAATGATTAGACATTTATATCCTAATTCTTATTTTTACTAGTGTGAGAGAGAGAAATATCAATGATGAGAGAGAATCATTCATCGGCTGCCTCCTGCATGCCCCACACTGGGGATGAGCCCACAACCCAAGCATGTGCCCTAACCAGGAATCAAACCATGACCTCCTGGTTCAACCACTGAGCCACCACCGCTGGGCTATACTATTCTGAATATGCATCTCCAGTTTCCCAACACAGCCCCTTAAGAAAATCGTATGTGCGCAGCATTAAAATGCCTTCCTTCTGATCAAATTCTAAGACGTCTCATTCCACAAACAAACACTGAGCATTGAGCTGAGCCGAGAGGATTTCATTCTTGCTGTCTGGGCAGTGGGCTCGGTGCCTTCGTTCATAGCAAGTGTGTGTACGTGGGTATGTTCAGCTTTCTGGTTTTTATGATTAAAATGAACACAATGCACATTGGGAAACAATCAAATAACGCTGAAAACTTCCAATTAGAAATTCCAATTAGAAATTCTGTTCTAATCCCTCCTCCAGAAAGAACACTGAGAGGCTGGCAGATATTCTTACAGAAATTTTCCATGCAGATGCAAAAATGTGTAATTTTTAAACAGGAAACATTTTATATATATTCTATGACTTGCTTTCCGTAACAATATTTTTATCTGATTGGTTCCTTTAATAATGTGCCTTATTAACTTGCTCCTCTTAATCTGGGAGTTATTTCCATGTTGAGATAGATTATAGATAGATAATAGAATAAGCTCTTTTTATAGCCACTGTATAATATCTCACGATAGAGATGAAACATTTTTTAAATCTTTAAAGATGTATGAGATTGAACTTTAAAAAAACCAAGGCACCTAAACAGGATGACAAGGCTTTTGATCAAAGTTACACAGAACAAAGCAGGGGCCAGCAAATGTGTGCGTGTTGATCTAGTTTATCGGAGCAGTTAGCACCTTTCCAGTGTAGCTATAGGTATTTACTAATATAATCGGTGCATTTCTTCAATTTCACTAGTAAACAGAATCCAGGAACTTAATGTGATATTGCTATGAAGCCTTTTTGAGAATCTTCCCAGCTGTAACAGAATTAGGCTTTTGAAAGATTTGAGGGATTCCCTTCTGTAGATCATCACGACCAAAGCAGGAGTTGCAGGAATGCAGGCTTCTGTTTCTCTGAGTCTCCGGGAAACCTTCAGAATGGACTTAGCAGCCCAGGCCATGGTGGGTGGACCTAGCGTAGCAGAAAGCAGGTGGGGCTTACACTGCCGTCCTGGCTTTGATAGTGGCTGGCACAGAGTTCTGGCCTGGGCATCAGTTAGCTCCCACTGCTCAAGGCCACAGACCTGAGTGGCGGGGGTGTACGCCTGCGGAGTGCCTGCCCAGCGGCCAGCTCAGATGACTAATAATAGCTTCTGTTTAAGAGGAACCAGCTGAATTCGTCAGCGTGGCTGGCCAGGCCTTCCTGGTCTCTGGAGCGGAGAGTGGCCTTGAGGAGGAGGAGAAGGTATGTCCCCGAGGGGCCAGCACGGAGCTGCAGAGCCCCAGCCCCTGGCAGAGTGAGGGCCAGATCACTGTCAGTAGTAAAGGCATGTCTGACAATTTAAACAACTTTCTGAGGAATGTCCTGTAACCCCTGATACAAGTGAAGAAACTGGCCCAGAGGTGTGAAGTAGAGGAAAAGTCAAAGCCCAGAGAATAACACAAATTTAGTAATCTTCCCAATAGCCATACAAGATACTGTATTTGCTGGTGACTATCAGTGATTATTAAAACATAGCAGGGTTGCAACAGTTATACATTTAAAACTAAATGGTTTGGACAATATCCTTACCCTGCTTCTTAACA